TAGTTTTAGCATATTGTCATTCATCCATGACTTTACTGAGTAAAGTATTCCCTGCTACTCATGTGCAATTATAAGGATACCTTCAGGCATGAGAGATAATTCAAGAGAAACGTTCCTACTAACTATATCCAAAACAGATTGTCTTCATTAGTTCTATATAGTTTGGGACTTTTACAAAACTTCAAAATATGTTTGTCTAAGGGCTGTTAATCAAGGCAAGATCCAGAAATAATCTGAAGACCCAAACCCTGGTGATATTCCAAACTCAATTACGGATGTCCCTGGGGTATTGGCTGTAGGGCAGTATGTAGGGAGTCCAGACATGGAGATGAATAGAGGCTGCGTGTGAAGCTGCTGCCATAGTGGCACCAGTAGGACGTTACATGTCTTTCATCCTTCCACAAATACAACAAGCAGGTGTTCTCATGTAAATGTGTTGTTTGTTTTTCCCTGATTTGTTTTTGTAATATGTACTGTTACCATCTGCGACAAATATGCTTATCAACTGGACAAATGCCAGTAAACTTTCATTAGGACAAAGTATAGAATTGGTCTAAATGTCTAGTGAATATGATGAAATGTTGTTTTTAGTAGCCACCTTGCTTGGAATGAAAGAACAGTGAGTGGAGGAAACTAATTGTTGTGAGCGTCTGACAAGTATTCTGTGTAACAAGTGATCTAATGGCACTGATCCTGTAGACTAACTAACCAGTAACATTTATTGAACATGGTACATATTGTCTAGCGGAGATGGAAATTAGCACTGACTTGCACCAGTTCTGTTCATGTTACCGGTATCCTAAGGTCCAGTAGAATTTCTAACTTTTAAGGGGCGTTATCACTTTTCTGGCTAGTAAACATTCTTGGTTAAATTTCCGTCCTAAATTTATTGGTGGACCTGAACACAAAAATCCTAGGCAGAAAAATGATGACAATTATTATTATTTTTACATTCAACTAAATTTAAACCACTATCATGGATCTACCAATTATTTTGGGAAATTTGATTATTTTCACATGTTTTCTTGGTTGTAGAGTTTTGAATGGAAATTCTTGTAGGAATCTTTAATTGCCCAAAGTGGAAGACGGCCTGTCCTGGGAGACTGGTAATTTCAATTGTTCAAGTAGCATGCCCTTCCTAACAAATAGTAGTCTTCAAACTCAGAGTTACTGTTATTCAATAGCACAATATTACAGTTCTGTTGAATTGCCAAGAAGCATTATTTTGACATTTGAATCTCTTCAAATGAATTCTGTACATGGGCTTTTCATGTGACAAAATAATCACTTTTTGAAAGATGTTTCTGGCATTTTGGATGGAAGAAATGACATTTGGATGTGAACAGGATAGAGTTAGAATTTATCTTGAAGCTTAGGCCATGTATGTTAATGGATAATTCTGACATTCTCAATAAGCATTCTCTGAGATGTTGGTAGCATGCAAGGCAACAGTGACATTTTTAGTGCATATTTTTGTCATAGATGAAATATGATTACTACATCTAAGGAGGATGGTATTTTGAAATCCAAAATTTTTTGACAGTTTCATATTGAAAAACTTGCCATTTTCCCTTAAGCCGAAATGACAAGTCACTTTCATTTTGATGTAGATATGACATAAAGAACATGGTCTTGTCATCCTGTAGAGTTCCCTGCCATGTTTCCTAATGGAGGACAGTATCTGTTTCTTTTCATGATTCATTGTTAACCTTTGTGGTTCTAAAACTAAGCTTAATGTGAAGGAAAGTGAAACTGTTTCAATTCTATAACTGAGGTATTTCTTGGGAGTTGACTTGTTTCTTTGGTTGTATTAACCAGTGGTTATGGACTTTCTGTCCATGTTTAATTAATCTTTCCATGCACTCATCTGTACAGGATGAACAAACGTCTGCAAACAATCATACAATAGCGTACAGATGAATAAATTGGGGCAACATTGACAGTCTGGGAGTCCTGCGGTCATGTTAGTATTCCTCCCTGTGTGATGATACAACAGCATTCCCAGGGGTTAATATCTAGTTTCAAGTTAGTTTTGTGGATGTCGATGACCTGTTTACTCACAACTGCTTTTTATGTATGTCTAGAGACATAAACGCAGATTCAGCACAAGCAGCAGCGCCCACTGCTCAGACTGTCTGTCCGCTCAATGGTTCTCTAAGGTCTATGTTGAAGAGCTCCTTCTTTCAGAGTGTGGAGTTCAAATTTTAGGGATATGCTTGGCCCTGAGGTTATCACCCGTTGGTATTTGAATTTACAGACTTTTGTAACTTTTGGAATGATGGTAGTGACAAGGACCACATGCATTTCATGCTTCATATCAAAGACTGGACTGTATGATGACGACTCTAAAAACACTTTAAAACTGCATATTCAAATATTTGTAGATTGACGGAATGGTGGCAAAAGTTTGTTAACTTCTGTGTATTCTGTCATCAGGCAATCAAACACAGCAATGTTGTCGTTTGCATTTATATCTCACTCATTCTATTCCAAAAATGATTTTGTACTAACAAAACGTCATGTCTGCTGACAAATGGGTGGGATTAAGTGTCAGTATACCAGTGTCACTGGGTAATTGATTGACTCCACACGCTGAGCACAACGTTGAGACATTGCGCCTTCTAAGGCTTCTAATGGGGATATCAGGGCAGAATACATAACTTGTCGTCAGATCTTACCATAAATGGTGGTAGCCATGTTGGAAGACAGCCTTTGAAATATCATTTCAACTCTTAACAGGCTGGATGTATTCTGTTTACATACATTACAACGTGAGACATAGTTGAAATACCAGCAGAATATCTGTCAGATATTTTTTTAACTCTTTCGACCAAATTATCGAGCTGCTTGTGTGTGGAACCTGGCTGCAGTAGAGAAAACCTATCATCATGCACCTTGGTTAAGCTTGGATCTCGTAAAGTTCATTTGTTGGCAACAATTCTTGAATTTACTTGCCTATTTATGGGTGTTTTTAAATGAACGTAGCCTTTATTACAGTTTGGTCGCTGTAATCTTCCCCAGGATTATCTGTGTCTATCAGTGTGAGGTAGTTAGGGAGCCCCTATCAGGTGGGCTAATATCTCTGTGTCATGCACAAGAAATGATGAGAATATGAGCAAATTTGTTCCGACATCATCCTCAAGTTATAGCTGGGGACGTAATGAGATCTGCAGGGACAGAAACCTTGGTAAAGTCTATTTCATGTTTACTTTGCTGTTAGTAGTGTTTAAGCTGGGATTATTTCCATTTTAGAACCTGATGGCATCATATTTTGTCACTGCTGCCTAGAATAACTGCTTATACTTGTACAGCATCTTGTACTGCTAAAGGTTAGATGTTGTTCAAGTTGCAGAATGTTTTTTTGTTTTTTTATGGTCATGTTTATTTTTTGCACATTATATTTCGGTTTGCCTGAAAATACATCGTGTCAAACAATTGGATGACAGCTGATAGGTAGCGTAGGCACTAAAATAGCAGAGCTGACAAACATGTGAGAAAATAATAAAACCTTTTGGTAGAACTGAGGTTCAATGATGGTGTGCTCCTGACAGCTTGTCAGGCTGTTTCCTGGGTTTGATTCCCCACATGGTTATAAGGCCATTCAGGATATCCCTGTTGGGATACTGCTGGCTTATGGGTCAATATGTTGCCAAAAACTCTATTGTTTCTCAATAGATGTTAACGTATGCCAGTACCTGCAATTCATCAAAATCAAGTTTTTATTGAAACTTATGAACAGAAAGTACATGTGCCCCTGTGTGGAATTGTAGGGATTTTTATGTTCTTTTTGCTTAGCAACAAAATCAGTTCTGAAAGACTAAAAGGAATACACAGACCTTTGGCAAGAGAAACTTGATTGATTCCTTTTTATGATTAATTGAAATGGACAAAAAACACAATATGTTATTGCCACAGTTCAGTAAAAACAGTCAATGTGTTCAAAAGTGCTTATTCAGAAACACACACATGATAAAATTCCTTTGTTTTTCATTTATTACTAGATGTATAGATATGAAAGTTGGAATTTATTAGAATTTTTCTCTGATGACCAACATTTAAATTTGGGATCAAAATGTTTAAACCAACTGACAAAAGTTTTTGAAAGGCCTGTATGTTGGGCAGTAACATCATTTGCGGTACAGGAACCACCTGCTGAGCATTTTGAAGTGGTGCCTGTTATTACAAAACTGTAAATTACATATTTTGGTTATCTTATAAATGTCTGTGCAATTTGGATAATATTTTAGTCACACCTGCAGAAGTATAGTTGTTTTCTAAAGAATTTGGCATGTTTTAGTGTAAGTACAAATTTGCAAAGAACTCATTTGTTGATGGAAGTGTCTTAAGATAAAGGTTTATTGCCAGACATCCCAAGGACAGACTTCTCATCATCAAGGGTCTATTTTTGTGTGTCTTTTGCATGCAGAGTCTATTTCCCAGTTAGCTGTAGATTATTTGGTCATGATGAATTTCCGCCAGTCTGAAACGCCAATTTCCTATTGGCTAAGCAGACCTGGTAGAGAAGAGTAGGTGAACCCAGGCACAGGGATCCATGGTGAACAACGTTATAGACTTGCTAGGTAACAGGAGTCCTAGACTTTATCATGGTTATACAACCCAGATGGAGCTGTCACTGAGGGGGATGAGAGTCTTCAGAGTCAGGCGAAGACCAACATTCATAATCACACACTGTAGTGTGCAGTAATGCAAGAATTGTGCACAACTTGCCTACTTGACCTTCTGTTAGATCTTGGTAATGTTAATGAACTGTAAAGAGTGGATGCAATGTCATGTCACCATTGGTAATATACCCTTGTCTCTGCTGCTGTTGTTGACAGGTTCAGCCAGTAGACTTCATACATGGATCCAGTAGAGGGGGGCTTGACTCAGCCTGGTCCTGATTACTGTGTCTCAGTTATTGGTTATTCTTAGGTTAGAAATCATAGTTATCTTCTTGTTATTCTCTGATAGCCGGATGACAATTGATGTTTTGGTTTCAGGAGCACACGATGGTTGGGCGGCCGGATGCGCCCACCCAACAGGACATCCAGCTGCGCGGGCTGGGCATTATGCCGGAACACTGTCTTGTGGATGTCGATGGTCCAGAAGTCTACATCACACCACTAGAGGGAGCCAGGTGAGTTAAGGAAGTTGTTGTCAAGCCCCCAGTTGGGCAGGATACATTTAGCTTTTTGTAAATACCTTGTATCAAACTGTTTGATAGTGATTCATTTCACATGGTCATTATACAGTCGGAATCAGACAACTGATTATGCTCTTACCACAGAGTATGAATATGGAAAGGGTTGTCTCCCTTTTATTTGCCTATATCTTCTGTGTTTGTTAACTTGTCTAGCAACCAGAGAGGCTGTTACATTGACAGGAATTTATGGACCACAATCGCATAATGTTCCTTCAGACTGAGATTGAGATGATCTATCTTGATTTATTCAAAGACAAAGGATAAAGGTTGAGAAAAATATGCTCTGGTGTCTGTGAGTTGAGTTGAATGCACACTGCAAAGACTGCACAATAGGATGGCTTGTCTGAAAGAATGAACGCACTTTGTGAAGTCATGTGGACTAAGCCCCTTTTAGGTGTCACAGTAGTGGTATTAGGTGTCACTGCTAGTATTGACAAGGAGCTAGCCCATGACATGCAATGTTCTCGTATGTATAGACATGTGAGGGTTTTGCATAAGGAATATCTTGTCATCAATGTGAAGGATTGAAGGTCTGTCTGTGTCACATCTGAAGTATCAAATAATATCGATGCCTGGTTTAACAAAACCCATCTGTCCATCCCACTAGAACACCACACTCAATCTTCTGTCGCCTTTTTGTCCAAGTTCTCAACAATTCCTCTGTTAATTCTTTGGAACAAGAATTGAAATCCACTTTATTTAAAATTAATTCTGCCCATCCAGTTGAACCTCTTCCAGATTGTGTTTGATCATGGAAGCAGCAAGTGTTATTGGAATGTGTGCAGTATGACCCGTCTGACATAGTGCTCTGTCTGAAACTGGTCCAGATAAGCACAGTAGGTTATTCCATGCTGTCCTGACACTGAGCAATTCTCCAGTTGGCCAATCAGACTCTCTTCCATCTCAATCAGGGTAAATTATGGTGGGAGATTGCTTTCAGCAGAGGCCTGCCAGTGAGTGTGGATTGTGTTCTTCATGTTGCCGGGGTAGACTACATGGGGAAGGGACATTATGGTGGCAAGACATGCAATATCCTACAAGTTTACAGCAGATAACTGCTCCACCAGTTTACGTAGATTGTTCATGTCTGTCAGGCCTGATTACAGTCAGTAAATACATCACCGTATTGTGTGTCTTATATAATGGTTAGGAGGCTTAAAACTGTGTGATGGTCTTTTGATGTGGCAGAGCTGGAGTCCTATTGATGCGGCAAGATTATTGTTATGAGCTTATGCAGAATGAGAACTTACATCTTTGTTCTCCTACTCCCTATCCTTCTTCAACAGACATTATGTGGAGATCCTATTATATCAATTTAGCGTCAGATCACAGGATATTATTGATGATGAGTTTGGCTTAATATCAGGGTTTTGAAAATAAACCATGGAAACAGTCTCAGAATTCTTGAGATTACTATCATAAAACAAATAAATATTCAATAAAAATCCATTGAATCCTCTAAATTCAACACCTAGTCTTCATTGCATTTCTTTTAAGTCACAGAAATGTCTACAGATCATTATTTTAGAGATAGAATAGACCTCCAGTGGTTAGTGGAGAAGATGTTTGCATGCAGCAAAGCATGACAGATGAAAAAGCATACAGATCATTGTTTTAGAGTTAGTATAGAGACGCCACACTTGAGCCGTCGTCATTATTCGAGTTTCTGGTTCACAAGGGATCAAAGATCGAAGGAAGTTGATATCAAGGCTGTATTGTCTGTTATGCTTGGATGCATGTACACAGCTTCTCTACTGAACCAGTAGCAGAGATGCCAACCCATACGGTTTTATCATATTCGTTACGAAAAAACCCACAAAATACGCAACTATGATAGCAGTAAAAATATACGAATTTTTAAAAATAATACATTAAATCAAATTATCAAATAGCATATGTAGCATATGTACCGTACACAATAAATTTCAATCATATTAATTCAGTATCAAGCCATATATGGAGACTTACTACTGATTTTGGCAAGTACAATGTCTATAACAAGGTCTTAGACAATATATTTACATATTTTATTTAATATGAAAATACTTTGGAAAAGTGAATACTAATTTTGGACAAAAATACTAATTTTTGCATCAGTTTTTGGCCAAAATACTAATTGGGCTAAATTAGGATTGACATCTCTGCAGGAGCCCAGTGGAGCTGTAAGTTGGTATGTAGTTTCCTTGTACTGGTGACACCAATATTGCTGGCATCCTCCATCTGTTCCTCTGTAGTTGGGGAGGGTGAACACTAAATTCCTTTGACCATCTTACCTTCTGAAACCACCAAGCTGATGGAGGTGGCACTTGACCTCCAATGATTTTCACATTCTGCTGTCTGCAGCTTTGGTGTTGACACCTATTGAGATTAATGAAAGATCAGGATTTAAAATATGGTCCTTAGTCTGGCAGAATGATCAACCCGATAGTTTTCTTGATCTCTTATGGCCTGACCTGTTCATTGACAAATTGTTGAGATCAATTTAGAGTCATTGAACACAAGGTAAAGTGTAGCCTGTACAACTCTACAAACACTTACATAAGTACAGTGGTGCCAGGTGCTTCGTCAACTCAGTGCCAATGCCATGTTTACTTACTTGAATTTTTTTTTTTTTTTTTTTTTTTTTTCAATATTTTTATTCATTTCAGATAGGTATACAAAGACAGGGAGTACACAACTCCATGTTAGGGCTGGTTACATTTTGGCATCAAAGAGTTACAAATGTTCAAAGTAAGAAAATATAGTTACTAGTATACAAAGTCAGGGAGTGCACAACTCCAGCAGCAAACTTCATGGGTTACACGCATTTTCTAGCTAGTTATACATCAGTAACAAAGATTTAGCAATTTTGAAGTGTGGAAACATAGGTACACAAAGTCAGGGTGTGCACCACTCCAGCAACAGACTCCACGGGTTACAGACTTACTTGAATTCTTATCACAATGATGTGTCCTACTCAAAAGAGCGATCTGTTTGATTGGCATTTTAGAAGTTGATGGATAATAGAAAAGTATTTTTCTATTACCGGTACTCAAAAGAGGTCAAAGGACAACAAGGGTTTTTCATGTGACTTTAGTTCATTATGTCCTGACAGATTAACTTTTTTTCATATGTAAAAAGTGGGTGTTGTTAACTTCTTTTGAGCCACAAATGCATATAACATATGATATGAGTGAGTGAGTATAGTTTTATGCCGCTTTCAGCAATATTGCCGCAATATCATGGAGGGTGATACCAGAAATGGGCTTCACACAAAGTACCCATGTGAGGAATCGAACCTGGGTCTTCGGTGTGATGAACGAGCTCATTAACCCATTAGCCCCTGATAGATATGAAATCCTTGATACTAACAGTATCTTACACGGCTGATGTTGTTGCCATCAGGCAGTCCTTATGTTGGTCAGTCCTGTGACCAGATGAGCTACAGCTCCTGAGCACCGTGTTTTGTGCTGAAAGATTATTACAGGAAATTGATATCAAAAAGGTTTCCAAACAGGTTTATTGAGGTATCTGTTTATCTCTGGCAAACAGTGGCAAGTATTGAATTCCTTAATTGGATTTTAGATGTGGAATGGTTTTTTAATCATATTAACTCTGAACATCAGATTTATTGATGTTTCCCTTCTGTTAATCAGTGTTGGATGTTAAAGTGGCTGTCACAGGACAAAAACGTTAGTAAACGTGGGCAAGCATATGTATGTGTGGGAAGACAAACATGTTGGCAGGCTTGTGATTGTGTGTGAGACAGAAGATAAACATGTTGGCAGGCTTGTGTGTGTGTGAGATAGAAGACGAACATGTTGGCATGTGTTTGTGTGGCAGATAGAAGTGGCTAGCTTGTGTTTGTGTGTAAGATAGAAGTCACATGTTGGCAAGCTTGTGTTTGTGTGTGAGACAGAAGACAAACATGTTGGCAGGCTTGTGTTTGTGTGTAAGATAGAAGTCACATGTTGGCAAGCTTGTGTTTGTGTGTGACACAGAAGTCACATGTTGGCAAGCTTGTGTTTGTGTGTGACACAGAAGACAAACATGTTGGCAAGCTTGTGTTTGTGTGTGAGACAGAAGTTACATGTTGGCAAGCTTGTGTTTGTGTGTGAGATAGAAGACAAACATGTTGGCAAGCTTGTGTTTGTGTGTGAGACAGAAGACAAACATGTTGGCAAGCTTGTGTTTGTGTGTAAGATAGAAGTCACATGTTGGCAAGCTTGTGTTTGTGTGTGAGATAGAAGACAAACATGTTGGCAAGCTTGTGTTTGTGTGTGAGATAGAAGACAAACATGTTGGCAAGCTTGTGTTTGTGGGTGAGATAGAAGTCACATGTTGGCAAGCTTGTGTTTGTGTGTGAGATAGAAGTCACATGTTGGCAAGCTTGTGTTTGTGTGTGAGATAGAAGTCACATGTTGGCAAGCTTGTGTTTGTGAGATAGAAGACAAACATGTTGGCAAGCTTGTGTTTGTGTGTGAGATAGAAGACACATGTTGGCAAGCTTGTGTTTGTGTGTGACACAGAAGACAACATGTTGGCAAGCTTGTGTTTGTGTGTGAGACAGAAGTCACATGTTGGCAAGCTTGTGTTTGTGTGTGAGATAGAAGACGAACGTGTTGGCAAGCTTGTGTTTGTGTGTAAGATAGAAGTCACATGTTGGCAAGCTTGTGTTTGTGTGTGAGATAGAAGTCACATGTTGGCAAGCTTGTGTTTGTGTGTGAGATAGAAGACAAACATATTGGCAAGCTTGTGTTTGTGTGTGACACAGAAGTCACATGTTGGCAAGCTTGTGTTTGTGTGTGAGATAGAAGTCACATGTTGGCAGGCTTGTGTTTGTGTGTGATATAGAAGTCACATGTTGGCAAGCTTGTGTTTGTGTGTGAGATAGAAGTCACATGTTGGCAAGCTTGTGTTTGTGTGTAAGATAGAAGTCACATGTTGGCAAGCTTGTGTTTGTGTGTGAGATAGAAGACAAACATGTTGGCAAGCTTGTGTTTGTGTGTGAGATAGAAGTCACATGTTGGCAAGCTTGTGTTTGTGTGTGAGATAGAAGACAAACATGTTGGCAAGCTTGTGTTTGTGTGTGACACAGAAGTCACATGTTGGCAAGCTTGTGTTTGTGTGTAAGATAGAAGTCACATGTTGGCAGGCCGTTGTTTGTGTGTGAGATAGAAGTCACATGTTGGCAAGCTTGTGTTTGTGTGTGAGATAGAAGTCACATGTTGGCAGGCTTGTGTTTGTGTGTAAGATAGAAGTCACATGTTGGCAAGCTTGTGTTTGTGTGTGAGATAGAAGACAAACATGTTGGCAAGCTTGTGTTTGTGTGTGAGATAGAAGTCACATGTTGGCAAGCTTGTGTTTGTGTGTAAGATAGAAGTCACATGTTGGCAAGCTTGTGTTTGTGTGTGAGATAGAAGACAAACATGTTGGCAAGCTTGTGTTTGTGTGTGAGATAGAAGTCACATGTTGGCAGGCTTGTGTTTGTGTGTGAGATAGAAGTCACATGTTGGCAAGCTTGTGTTTGTGTGTGAGATAGCAGTCACATGTCATATATGGGATGACTGCTCATACTTCATGAGTGGGTGAGAGAGAGAAGAGAGGAAAATTAGTGCAATAAGTATACTGGAGGAAGGAGACACTGACAGACAGAGTCAATGCCTCAGCTTATACAATTCGGACAGTGGTAACTGTGATAATCCATGGTAATCAGTCATCATTGTAAAGTCATTGGCGTGCTCAACACGGCTCATATGATGGGATAATTCATGGAGAACGTGAACGTTGAAGGGAAGCAATATGTAAATACTGCCCATTTGACCCATGTCAATCTGGGCTGTGTAATAGATGGTTACAAGTTCAAATGTTGTAGCAAATCTGCACCCAGGCAGGAAGTGGCTGTCAGTGCTTTTGGTGCCTTTGTGGTTTCTGAAGTCCGGATGCTGATTGCTGTAAGTCGTGGTGATTGCATACAGATGGTTTGCAGAACAGCATTGATTTTAGCTGCCTGATTGGTTTTAGACTATGTCCATCTGAAGGGTTTTGATGATTGAAATTGTGATCATGTCGTATCCTGAATGCATATTCTTAAAAGCATTCATATTTGTCAAACTGAGCTGGTGATTGATTTGAATTGGGCACAAAACAGCATTGAATTTACGCTCATGTCCAGTGATACAAATTACCTTGAACCTTTTAACTCTGTCAAATGCAAGTGTGTAATGAGATGAGGATAATTATAAGAGTTGCTGAGTTGGTTGTGCTTGTGTGTAGCTGTAGTTTGTTAATAGGAGCAAGGGCTTTTTACAAGGAATATCTTGCTGTTTCATGCTTAGAAACCTGCTCTAGTCCATGGCTCTCTGCCTAGTTTTGTATTGGTATCCAACAAATCAAGTAAAGCTTAAGCAATTTCATTGAAATGTCATGGCAAAAAGTCATTTCGACATCATTACTCGACACCCAGAAATACGTCTGCACAACGAGTTTACATTATTGTGAGCCTGTAGATTTGTGGAATTTTAACAATCTAGGATTCTTATCCAACAAATAATGTACAGTATTAATGTTAGAAAGAACAAGTAATTAGATTTCCCTGTGTAGATTGGTGCCTATTGCTAGACTATTGCTGGAAGCGTGTAACGACCATATGCATTCTTTCGCTCCTACATAGATTGTGAAATACTTGTGTCTGCCTCTGTCACAGCAGATATTAGTTTGGTCAAGGCTTGGTTATTTACAGGCATCTGTGAAATTGCTAGAATATTGCAGAGTTTAACGCCATTCACTGTCTGTAACTGAGTACAGTCCATGATGTGAATTTGTTTTTTATCAGAGAGATGGCATAAAACTGGACAAATGACTCATTTTTCTCAGCGCTCTTCCAAATGATGATGGCATAAGAACAGTCTATGAGAAGCACAAACTTATTGCTCCCCAAAGGATGCTTTTTGCACTGGGCCGATTCCTTAAACAAGTTCCATGGTACAGCAGTATTCACTCAGCCTCCTTTCACATGTGGGCCGTGGACGTGGATGGATATTCACGTTTATGTAGTGAAATGTACACAGTATCATTTGTTTAACAAACAAGACAACTGTTGTCTCTGATAGTGATGAAGTACAACCTTCTAGACCATTGCGTTTCTTTTCAACAAAATTATCATGACAAGCATGGCGCCAGGTTGTGCCCAGGCCGTTCTGGCCAGGTAACATGATAACATGATGATAACGCTGAGAGTATCGATAGCGTGTTGAGATAGCAGAATTATCGAAGAGACTGTAATATGCCCAACAAGGACCCAGCAGTGCCTGGCGGAGGAAATGAGGAATGGGCAGAGTGCTCAATTAGTTATCGATGCTGGTTAATTCGACTGAAATCTAATATGTCCCTAACCCTTGTAATCAGATTGAACACATAGCAACACTTGTTTACATTAATTCAACCCAGCTAATTTGATAATGAATATCGCTGACTTATTGACCAGTCCTATTTGGGACTCCATTCATGGAGTATGGAATATATATCTTCGTATGGATCAGAATCAGATTGAGACATCTTTCATTGGAATCAAATTGAGGTTGTGATCATGCTTCAGTGTGTATCACTAGGACCAGATTTTTCTTTGGAGTGTATAACACCTTAGTGGGATCATGAGCACCATATGTCATACAGGCCAGAATCATGTTGGACCATGTGTGACCAAGCTGGAACATGTTCAACTATATGTCTCCAGGACCAGAATCATGAAGGAATGTGTATCAACCAGGCTGGATCATGCTGGATTACATTATCATTTTGGTCAGAATCATGTTAGAATGTGTGTTGGATTGTATATCACCTTGGCTTGATATGTTGAACTGAATATCATCCAGGCCAGGATCATGTATTGATGTATATCATCTAGGCTGAATCATGTAAGGATGTGTATCACTCAGGTTAGAATGTGTATCTCCCAGGCTGGATCATGTTGGATGGTGTCATCTAGGATGGATCATGTCTGATTACATATCATCAAGACAAGGTATGATGTAAGAATGTATATCACCCAGGTTGGATCTTGTTGGATGGTATATCATCAAGACAAGGAATGATGTAAGAATGTATATCACCCAGGTTGGATCATGTTGGATGGTTATCATCAAGACAAGGAATGATGTAAGAATGTATGTCACTCAGGTTGGATCATGTTAGGCTGTATATCATCAAGACAAGGAATGATGTAAGAATGTATATCACCCAGGTTGGATCATGTTAGGCTGTATATCATCAGGACAAGGAATGATGTAAGAATGAATGTCACCCAGGTTGGATCATGTTAGGCTTTAATCATCAGGACAAGGAATCTGACTGTGGTTAATGTTTGAGACTTGAAGGTGCATTCTATGAAGATGCAAGACGTGACCTGTCATTGAGATGTGACCTGTCACATGACAGCAGATTTCACAAATATGTATGACATCAGATCAGACTGACCTGCAGGAAGACTCAAGACCCAAGTTTGTAGCTTCTGTAGTTGTGTGAGTGTGTATTCAATATGTTGATGTCACATAGAGTTTTACCAATAGTGTTGCGGTGGAGGACTTGCTTGGCTACTGTTGCGTGCGGCTGCGGCTGCTGCTGCAGTTCCTGTTTCTGCAACCAGTTGGAGCTGCTGTGAAAGAAGACACCACTCTGGGGATTTTACATCCTCATGATGGAGGTGTTTTTTCTAATTAGTGCAGCTGTTTTTCATCCTCTAAACAGAAGAGTTGTGTACCTTCCCACCAATCATGGCAATATTTGTGTGTTTTCAGAACGTGTGTTAATGGTGCCGTCATCCACGAAAGAAAGAAGGTCCGACATGGAGATCGTATTCTGTGGGGGAATAATCACTTCTTTCGTCTTAACTGCCCACGACCAACTAATAGTAAGTCTCTAATTTTAAATCTGTTCCATCTAACATTTTGTACATTGTGTGTAAAATGTGTACCATCTTACATTTCATATGTATTGTGTAAAACCTGTGCTAGCATGTCATACATTTTATGTAAACGGTGACGGAGGGGTAGCCTAGTGGTTTTAGTGTCCTCTCATCTCGCCGAAGGCCCAGGTTCGTTTCCCACATGGGTACAATATGTGAAGCCCATTTCTAGTGTCGTGATATTGCTGGAATATTGCTAAAAGCGGCATAAAACCATACTCACTCACTTTATGTTAAACCTGATGTCTTGATCCACATGTAACAATCAAGTCATGTTTTGTCACTTAAAGTCAGTGATGTGCACAAAGACGTAGCAGTCTGAGTGGTTAGTGCTGCTGGTGACATGTTGATAAATGTTTGTGTTTAACCTTGAAGGTCTGAGATGTAAACAGGACAGAACAAACAGAACATGTAGATAGCTCAATGAAGATTAATCTATGGAAAGTCAGTTTCAAATTGTTTTAGATAGTTATATGTAAGGAACTCAAAGGTTATGGGACAAGGAAATCCTTATGTGTTAGGGACTCATGAATTGTAGGGCAAGCAAATCCTTACATGTAAGGGACTTATGGGTTGTAGGGCAAAGAAATCCTTATGTGTAAGGAACTCATATAGTGTAGGGCAAGGGAAGCAAGTGGCCATACACCCAATTCTTCAGACACTTAACAGGTATATTTTATTACTTTGGGAGTGTTCAATACTACCCTTGCTCTACCAACCTTGCCCCAAAATACCTATACCCCTTGTATGTTATATGTTTAGTCAGGTATATTTCCTACCAGGTTTCAGTGTACTGTGTTGATGTGTTGATGGTGTACACTGATTATTCATTTCTACAGGTCCCCAGACCCAGCATGCTGACCCATCAGAACAGAAGATCGACTATAACTTTGCCCAGCAGGAGCTGATGATGCAAGAACTGTGTGACGACCCCATACAGGAAGCCATCTGTGCCATTGAGAAACAGCACGAGGAAGACAAGCAGGGTAGGTTCACTCTCCTCAGTCACGTTGGTCAGAACTGGTCTGTGTATTAAGTTCATTTTAAGGTTACATATTTAGGGGGTCCCAGGTTTCATGTTGGAGCTAACATCAAGGACCACCAAGGCTTTCTTAAGTTTGAACTCTGGGGGTTTTTACGTATAAGAAACAGGTTAATTCTTTGTGTTTCTTTCTAACACATTTACTCTCCCACCCAACCAATGACCAACCCTTCCAGTCACCAACCCACATATTCTTCCAGTCAACCAACCGCCAACCCTTCCAATAGTCAGTCACCCAGGTAACCAACCGCCAACCCTTCCAATTGTCAGTCATCAACCCACACATTTTCCCAGGTAACCAACCGCCAACCCTCCCAATTGTCAGTCATCAACCCACACATTTTCCCAGTCAACCAACCACGAACCCTTCCAATTGTCAGTCACCAACCCATACATTTTCCCAAGTAACCAACCCTTCCAATTGTCAGTCACCAACCCACACATTTTCCCAGGTAACCAACCGCCAACCCTCCCAATTGTCAGTCACCAACCCATACATTTTCCCAGGTAACCAACCGCCAACCCTCCCAATTGTCAGTCACCAACCCATACATTTTCCCAGGTAACCAACCACCAACCCTTCCAATTGTCAGTCACCAACCCATACATTTTCCCAGGTAACCAACCACCAACCCTCCCAATTGTCAGTCACCAACCCATACATTTTCCCAGGTAACCAACCACCAACCCTTCCAATTGTCAGTCACCAACCCACACATTTTCCCAGGTAACCAGCCGCCAACCCTCCCAATTGTCAAGTCACCAACCCATACATTTTCCCAGGTAACCAACCACCAACCCTTCCAATTGTCAGTCACCAACCCATACATTTTCCCAGGTAACAAACTGCCAACCCTTCCAGTAGTCAGCCAGCCAACCAAGAATCTACCCAAACCCTGACTCAAAAACCTCTTTACTTACTGAATTGCCAACATTATCTCACAAAAACTCGCAAAGGAAATCAGTGAGAGAAAGATTTGAGAGATTCAACCATGGCTGTGTGTATTTAGCAAGCACTGTGACAATCAAGCTACCTTCCTGCCCAACAGGGGCAGTGGGGTAGCCTAGTGGTTAAAGCGTTGGCTCCTCACGCCGAAGACCTGGGTTCAATCCCCACATGGGTACAATGTGTGAAGCCCATTTCTGTGACTACCCGCTACCTTCCTGCCCAACATGTCCCTCACCGTGATGTTGCTGGAATATTGCTAAAAGCGAAAACCAAACTCAGTCAGTCAGTCCTGCCCAACATATGGCTGTGTGTGACAATCAAGCACTTCCTGACAATGGCTGCAAAGCTACCTTCCTGCCAACAGTTCAGTATGTGACAATCAAGTCAGCAAGCACTGTGACAATCAAGCTACCTTCCTGCCCAACAAATGGCTGTTCCTAATGTAACACACTCTTATTTTGTTTCTAGATTAACAGTCACCCATCCAATGGTGTGATGGAATCTTAAATGGATTAGGAGGACTTACTTATACTTCATTTGCTGGCAAGAAAATTTTATAAAGTTTTATAATAAAAACTTCTGAAGCAAGAGAGATAACTTTGGAGATAAACAAGATCTGAAGGCAGCTGTGAGTGAGTCCAAGGCTTGCCACCATTTCACTGATGTAGATATCGGTATTGATTCCCCACTAGAACAGCATGGCTGTGTTACAAGAAATGTAGAATAGGAAAAAATAAGTGGTATTCCAATGTTGATTTCAGAAATAAAAAAGTGCCACTGCAATTTGAAAAATGGATGCCAAAGCATGTTTCATCTGTCATATGGAATAGATTACAAAACAATAACAATTTGGGTACATTTTTCCATCTATATGTACCAGTATTTCAGATTCATTCATATTATATGATGCTGGCCGATGTCATTGGAATTGTCCTAAAGATGTTTTACGATACGTTAATTACACAGAAGAAAGTTATATCAAAAATGGTCAATCATGAAACTGTCCTTATTCCATACATGTATTTAGCACTTGTGGTTTCTTGTTTCTATAGTTCAACCTAAAAATGATGAGAAAATTTAAATTACTTCTCTCATCTTGGAATCATCTGTCATCACAAATCATTGTCCTTTGAAAAACATTTAGAGAAACATCTGTTCTAAAATCAGATTTATAGTTTTCTTTGGGCAGCAATTTGTATTGTAATTTTCCTCGCGAAGAGGGTTTGGTGTGGCATTTCTTCACTTTGAACTGGTAAAGTTAGGATCCTTCCATCAGTGGAAATCCATGGAAGTTCGACCACAGAGTTTGTCATGGTCAACTCAGATTAATCGAGAAGGCACTTGGAGTGGAACGGATTGATAGATCAATGTGACTTGTTACTATTCAATCTGTTATGGAGCATTATAATTTCGTTAGTCTCCAACAGATGTTTTGGGAAAGCAATTTGTCCTTCAGATTCGATAAAGCTTCAAGCCTTGACTATTGATCAGAAGTTTATGAGAGTGATGAAAGGTGGCCTGCCTGTAATTCATTTTCTTCTCTTTTTGTGGAGTGTATTTGTTTCAATTTGTGTGATAAATTCATAGTAGAAACCTGTTATCGATTTCCGAACCTGTTTCAAATTTGGATTGTGCTTTGTAGGGAAATGTCGGGATTTATGCGTCACAAGCTATGATTCCTTGTTTGTATTAAATAACAATAATTCGAACAGATCAATCATATTTTCACTCATAACAGAGGGGGCATAATAACAATTCCTGTTTGTAGAGAATATCAGCTTTATTTAGTCATTCCCGAAATCACAGTTCCAAAGGAAAATAAAGTAAGGGTGAAAAAGTTACCATTTTGTAGAAAAAGTTAATGAAACTTACAGATGCATGGGAATTAGATTTTAAGTTACTCATGACTTGGAGTTAAAGGTCGTCATGACCCTAGCTGCTTGGTTTGTGTGGGCTTTGTGATTGTATGACCACACATTGAATTTATTAGCTGTCTCAGTTGACCTGAAACAATGCCTGGTGACATAGTGGGGCAGTGTACAGCGTGTCTGTTGTCCCTGGTTGGTAGACACGGATAGTGAGGCCGGGGTAACTAGATGTGATGGAGACAATATGTATGTATTCTATCTGACTCTACAAACAGTAGTATGGTTGACCACATCATTGTAAGTTGGTTGTGTTAACGAGTAAATACTTGTACCTATACTGAAGGACACAATGTCTGCTTTGTTGGAAATTAAGGTAATCCTTCAAGTCTACAGTTCCAGTGAATGTAACTAGGTTCCTAGTGTGTGTCACATATACTTGGGTCCTGGCTTACATACACAGTAAAGATGGTGTCTGCAGGTATGTCCCTGCTTTCATTCGTGATATATTTATGGAGACTCTTACGTATCATTTATGTGAGTAATTTCTGCAAACTATGTTATGCAAGATATAAATTACTTTCTACCTGTGTCTCCAGAAGTCTGAGCCAAATGTTATATGTAATATCTGCGTAGTTGTTTTTCTCACCTGATCCTGTTTCAGGTATATCTTCAATACTCTGTTAATAACAAGGCACATATTTTTTAGACAATTTGCATCCCTGGTTAGTAATCGGTGATCTAGTACCTTGGAAATTGTATAAGACCCAGTGTTTTGAGAGTTACATATTGAAATGTTAATTTCTGTGGTATTACAGACTATGTGTTATGAATTCTTGCCCACAAGTGGAAATTGTAATTATATCACACTCCCTGCCTGTGGAAACTTGCTGCAGTGTGTTCTGCAGACAGGTGATGTGAGTGTTATTAGTGTGGACATACATCAGGAGCCTGTTCTGGCCTTCCTCCACCATCTCCATACTGCCACAGGGGCTACTCCAGGGATCTGTTTGGACCACTCAGAAGATGATATTTGGCCCCAAGTCTGCAGTCTGATCGTAAAAATTCCCAATTTGAAGTAATAATCTCCCAACTTCTCGACTTTACAAAAATGAGAACATTAATGTAATCAAATTTTTAACAATGCCACAATTTTTTTCAAAATTGCCTGCCAAGAGCACTTCGTTAGTTTAGAGTCCTGGTTAGGTCCCTGCATGGTATGCCGTAACAACAATGAGCGTGTTAATGACAGGCTAATTCCAAACTGACCAACTCATTACTGGTCAACCGGTAACATACTGATTAGTAATCTGCCTCTCAGTCCCTGAACCACAATACTTTCCCTACAGCCTAGCCCTCCCTGCAATGCTAAAGCCCTAACTGAAGCAAGTCTATATCTCCCCAGGTTCAGGATCTCTGGTCCACCTAGGGCTCCTTTTCAATGTAAATGGGTTTGTTTGTTACTATCAAAATTATATATATTCTGAGACTAAGTGTTAGTCTGACTGATTAGTGGAACAATGTTTGTTGATGTAGCTAGTTCTAGTCAAATATTGAGTGTATCACATAGTGTCTGTTGCAGATACATCATTCCTGTTTCTGACAACTGGGATAACTTGCATGTATCATGTTTAAGAAGATAATCCTATAGTTAATGCCATTATCAATATATCTGTGTACGACTGTACTTGTGTCTTAGTGCTTGGACCTCCAGCTGCCAAGTTACTGACATGCTGACAAGTAGTTTGGAGGTGGACTTCAGGTTGTTAAGTATGCTGAAAGTGATTGGTTTAAAGTGCTTTGCTTTGCCCTTGACAGTCACTGACCAGAACACTATCATTGATTTGCGAGTATCTGCCTTCTAAACAAAAATCAATAAACTATTTTTTTCTTTCTGATCCCAGTTGGACTAAGCACACCAGTAGCCCAGTGGTCTAGGGTTTCACAATATACTGTCAAGATTTTCATCCATATCCAGGATCAGAATATATTTGGGTTGAATCACAGATTTTTCAACTGCTTTTAGTGCTAAGATTGTCATAACTCCCATACTTTAACATAAACATACAAGGACCCTAGTGCTAAGATGGTCATAACTCCCATACTTTAACATAGACATACAAGGACCCTAGTGCTAAGATGGTCATAATTCCCATACTTTAACATAGACATACAAGGACCCCAGCACTAAGATTGTCATAACTCCCATACTTTAACATAGACATACAAGGACCCTAGTGCTAAGATGGTCATAACTCCCATACTTTAACATAAACATACAAGGACCCTAGTGCTAAGATGGTCATAACTCCCATACTTTAACATAGACATACAAGGACTGCAGTGCTAAGATGGTAAAAAATCCCATACTTTAACATAGACATACAAGGACCCCAGCGCTAAGATGGTCATAATTCCCATACTTTAACATAGACATACAAGGACCCCCAGCTAAGATGGTCATAATTCCCATACTTTAACATAGACATACAAGGACCCCAGCACTAAGATGGTCATAATTCCCATACTTTAACATAGACATACAAGGACCCTAGTGCTAAGATGGTCATAATTCCCAGACTTTAACATAGGCATACAAGGACCCCAGCACTAAGATGGTCATAATTCCCATACTTTAACATAGACATACAAGGACCCCAGCGCTAAGATGGTCATAATTCCCATACTTTAACATAGACATACAAGGACCCCAGCACTAAGATGGTCATAATTCCCATATTTTAACATAACATAGACATACAAGGACCCCAGAGTGCTAAGATGGTACTAACTCCCATACTTTTAACATAGACATACAAGGACCCCAGCTAAGATGGTCATAACTCCCATACTTTAACATAGACATACAAGGACCGCAGTGCTAAGATGGTCATAACTCCCATACTGTAACATAGACATACAAGGACCCAGTGCTAAGATGGTCATAACTCCCATACTTTAACATAGACATACAAGGACACTTTGGACAAATGCTAAGATGGTCATAACTCCCATACTTTAACATAGACATACAAGGATCCCAGTGCTAAGATGGTCATAACTCCCATACTTTAACATAGACATACAAGGACCCCAGTGCTAAGATGGTCATTACTCCCATACTTTAACATAGACATACAAGGACCCCAGCGCTAAGATGGTCATAATTCCCATACTTTGACATAGACATACAAGGACCCTAGCGCTAAGATGGTCATAATTCCCATACTTTAACATACACATACAAGGACCCTCGTGCTCAGTTCACTTTGTGGAATGGATCCCAGTGCAGGTCTGTGGTTCTTGTTACAATAAACTTGATTCATTTGCCATCTTTGTCTTGTAGAGGCCCTGGAGAAGCAGCGCCAGATGTACGAGAGGCAGATGCAGATGTTGCGGAATCAGTTGATGTCTCCAGGCACCCCATCGTACCCCTTCCCCCCATTTGATGCCACTCGCCTCACCCCAACAGGAAACATGAACACACAGAACAGCATCCAGAAGAAGTACCAGCAGTGGGCACAGGACAGGTCAGTGGTAGACACTGTAGAAACACTAGAAGCATGGCAGCCAGAACGTGTCATTCAGTACTTACTTCTTGTCCTGTAAGGCTTCAATACTTCACACATGTACATTATGTGAAGCCAAATGTAGGGTGTTGTCCTGTGTGATAAGGGTTGAAGAATGTTTCATGTACTATAAATAAACTGTAAGTTAGTACATCATACCAATCAATGTGTGTTTGACAAGATTGAACTGATATATATTTGCATATATGTGAATTTATATACAATGGTGTGCACTCTTTGTCTAAGTCCAATACATTTGTATAAAGGGGAACCAGTAAGTCAGAAGTATTGATGTCTGTGTACAGATGGTAATGGCTTCTAACGCTACAGTTATACAAAGGTTCTATGAGAAATGTGTGCAGATTATGCATGGTTTTGGAATACCCTTGTATAAAGAGTTGCCAGGTATCAACTATTTATAAACAATCAGTTGGAGGCAGCAGTATATATATGGTATAGACTTCTCACAATATAGTTGTGTAAAAAGGGTACCAGGTAGGATATAGATAATTCAGGATGTGCTGCTTGTGTTCTACATCAGTTAACTAGCAAGTAAACCAGTAAAAGATATGGGATTGAAATCATATCATTGTTATTTGCTTGATCAGCCAAGAATGTTTCTTGTGGATCATCGGATAATGAGACTTTAACAAGTCGGAATTGACTGACAAAATGTTGATACTTTTTGCAATCAAGTTTAACATGTGTTCATGGGGAATTAACAAGAATAATTGTTGTATGATTTCATCCATAACCCTTTTTGCACCAAACGTCCCGATCACTTTGACAAATAAGCAGTGTGAAGCCATAAGATAGGGATTTACTTTGCACAGTATCCTTTCACAGTCCCTTGTGGTTCAATCTTCAAACAGGCATTCCTTTGAAGCGTCTTCCAGCTTCAGTCGAGACTCCCAGAGACATGGAGATTTGCAAAAATGGGGATGACTTTATAATGGGAGCATTCATTGAACTGTAATTGGAAGATGGTCAAGAAATTATTCTTTGTGAAATACTCTTTGATCAGGCTTAAACACCAAACCATCCATAATGCTTTTGATGAATAGATTTTTGGTGCTAGTTATTCATGAAGAGGAATACAAGGCCTTTACTAGGATGTGTGCTGAGGTGTTGGGGAAATGATGCCGCCTAGAAGAATGTAATTATTTGTTGATGAATATTGTGCAGAGTTCGAGATGTGTAGAACTGCATGCTGTATTCATTACAGTGAAAGATCAATTAGTCAAAAACTATCAGAATTTACCTGTGACTCTTTATGGGGCATGCTATTCTTCCCAAAAATGTTGCCATATATTTCTGAGGAGATTTGTTCTTGATGCTTTTCCTTGAGAAGTCTTCTTCTACACATGTTCAATCTTTTGAGATGGGTTCCTTTTTCTTGTTTCTGGTGATATGTTCCTTGTCTCTCATAAAATTTGTTTCTTGTTTCTGGTTTAAATCTTCCTCACTGGTGAGACAGAAGACATGCTTTCAATGTCTAATGGCCTTCCTGCTCCACATGGGGCGGTGGGGTAGCCTAGTGGTTAAAGCGTTGGCTCGTCACGCCGAGGACCCGGGTTCGAATCCCTACATGGGTACAATGTTGTGAAGCCCATTTCTGGTGTCCCCCGCCGTGATGTTGCTGGAATATTGCTAAAAGCGGCGTAAAACCAAAACTCAGTCAGTCAGGCAGTCCTGCTCCACATACACTATAGTTAGCTTATGACTAATTAGGTGACCTCAACATCAACATGGACAGTGTATGCTGCAGTTGTTTACAGGCATGATTCTCAAGCCATAGAATTTCTTCCTTTGGTCTGGCTGAAATATTGCCGATGTGACGTTAAATATTAACTCACTCTTCCTTTGGTCTGACGATGTATATTAATTGAACATTTGAAAAGTGCTTTTCAGTATTCTCCTTAGTATTGTTATGAACTTGTTCCAGTCTTTGTAAGAATTTGGAATTGTGTCCTATTGAGATTGTCTGCTACTGGAACAACTGGTCGTCATGTGTTTGTACAACCTGTCTGCACCAGGCTGACTCATGGACTAAGTATATCTCGAAGAGGGTATTGTTACCATGCATACCTTTATCCAGACATGACATTTTACTGACATACACTCACAGCTTAATGTGGCTGATCCAACCCTCCACTGCCCTTCAATAAATATTGATGGTAAGGACTAGATTTGTTTTTTTAGACCACTCATAGCAAACATATTTCAAGGTTTATAGCCACTGACATTGACCAGTGATAAGGTCAACTGTCGCACTGCCAACAATCAAACACAACACGTTACTTCCACACAATTATTTCATTTTATGTGTATGGATTTTGGCCTCGGTCACTTTGGAGTGAGGTTCAAAATGATTTGTTAAAATGTCAGCTTTTGAACTCAAGAATAAGACAACTCCATATCCAGAAAACATATAGTTTTTCCAAGAATGACAGACCTTGCAAATATCTATCAAATGTAATAAATGTTGTCATGGAACATATGCTTTTTCCCTCACGCCTGTCCACCCTGTGGTGAAGAAATCATGTTATATTATTGTCTGTGACACATCCTCGGCTGTGAGTTAGGGAGAGATGATACTGCTGTTCCTCACATACGAGGCGTAATTGACAAGTGAAGCTCACATTTAAGGAACCGTATAACAGTAAAATCTTTTGTCATGGACATAGCTTGATGTCATAGAACTTTATTCACAATAACTGGGTCATGTGACCAAAGTGTTTTTCGGAAGTCAGTTAAGTAAGCTGGGGACTTTGACCTTTACAAAATGGACAAACTTGCTCCGTAGCTTCTGGCATCTGATAAAACATGCACCAGGATGAACATGTCCCACGATAGTCTGTCTCAGTTTGAAGCTGTTCCAGAAAGGTTCTTGCAAAAAAAAGCTGGGTTTACAACTTTCAAACAACAATCCAAACAGTGGAAGCATGTGACATCACCACCACCAAAGAAAACGAAAGCAAACATAAAGAAAACTCTGTACAGAACCCTTTTTCAACTAAACAATTACATCAAAGCAGTTTTGAAGAGCAAAGAGAAGGGCTTCTACTTAAGCTGTTGGAAAATCATTAAGTGGAAGGGGATATATTGATATAATTTTATTGTCCTCAGGACAAGTCTTTCTATGTTAGGTTCAGTATTTATCAGTCACCCCTTATATGTCCTTGTGTTGTAGGGAGGTGTTGCTATCTTCCCTCACACATGTCCTCCTGTATTGTAGAGAGAAGGTTATGTTATCTTCCCTCACACCTGTCCTGTATTGTAGAGAGAACGTGTTGCTATCTTCCCTCACACCCCCTCCTGTATTCTAGAGAGAAGCCATCTTCCCTCACACCTGTCCTCCTGTATTGTAGAGAGAAGGTGTTGCTATCTTCCCTCACACATGTCCTCCTGTATTGTAGAGAGAAGCTATCTTCCCTCACACATGTCCTCTTGTATTGTAGAGAGAAGCTATCTTCCCTTATACATGTCCTCCTGTATTGTAGAGAGAAGGTGTTGCTATCTTCCCTCACACCTGTCCTCCTGTATTGTAGAGAGAAGGTGTTGCTATCTTCCCTCACACCTGCCCTCCTGTATTGTAGAGAGAAGGTGTTGCTATCTTCCCTCACACCTGTCCTCCTGTATTGTAGAGAGAAGGTGTTGCTATCTTCCCTCACACATGCCCTCCTGTATTGTAGAGAGAACGTGTTGCTATCTTCCCTCACACATGCCCTCCTGTATTGTAGAGAGAACGTGTTGCTATCTTCCCTCACACATGCCCTCCTGTATTGTAGAGAGAAGGTGTTGCTATCTTCCCTCACACATGCCCTCCTGTATTGTAGAGAGAACGTGTTGCTATCTTCCCTCACACATGTCCTCCTGTATTGTAGAGAGAACGTGTTGCTATCTTCCCTCACACATGCCCTCCTGTATTGTAGAGAGAAGTGTTGCTATCTTCCCTCACACATGCCCTCCTGTATTGTAGAGAGAACGTGTTGCTATCTTCCCTCACACATGCCCTCCTGTATTGTAGAGAGAAGCTATCTTCCCTCACACATGCCCTCCTGTATTGTAGAGAGAAGGTGTTGCTATCTTCCCTCACACATGCCCTCCTGTATTGTAGAGAGAAGCTATCTTCCCTCACACACCTGCCCTCCTGTATTGTAGAGAGAAGGTTGCTATCTTCCCTCACACATGTCCTCCTGTATTGTAGAGAGAAGTTGCTATCTTCCCTCACACATGTCCTCCTGTATTGTAGAGAGAACGCTATCTTCCCACACATGCCCTCCTGTATTGTAGAGAGAAGGTGTTGCTATCTTCCCTCACACATGCCCTCCTGTATTGTAGAGAGAAAGTGTTGCTATCTTCCCTCACACATGCCCTCCTGTATTGTAGAGAGAACGTGTTGCTATCTTCCCCTCACACATGCCCTCCTGTATTGTAGAGAGAACGTGTTGCTATCTTCCCTCACACATGCCCTCCTGTATTGTAGAGAGAGCGTGTTGCTATCTTCCCTCACACATGTCCTCCTGTATTGTAGAGAGAACGTGTTTGCTTCTTCCTCTCACACATGCCCTCCTGTATTGTAGAGAGAACTGTTGCCTCTCCCTCACACATGTCCTCCTGTATTGTAGAGAGAACGTGTTGCTATCTTCCCTCACACATGCCCTCCTGTATTGTAGAGAGAAGTGTTGCTATCTTCCCTCACACATGCCCTCCTGTATTGTAGAGAGAAGCTATCTTCCCTCACACCTGCCCTCCTGTATTGTAGAGAAGAACGCTCCTGTATTGTAGAGAGCGTGTTGCTATCTTCCCTCACACATGCCCTCCTGTATTGTAGAGAGAAGATGTTGCTATCTTCCCTCACACATGCCCTCCTGTATTGTAGAGAGAAGGTGTTCCTGCACAGCCTCGTCAAGCTGCGGGAGGAGGTGGTCAAAGCCAACACTCTGGTTAGGGAGGCCAACAACCTGGCAAAGGAGATGGGCAAGCAGACTGAGTTCCACGTGACACTACAGATACCTGCTGCCAACCTGAGCCCCAACAGGAAGGTAAGTGACTCTTTCTTGATCTCCAGTTGCTGCAGGAGAGGTCTGTAACTTTAGCCAAAGTTGTAGCAGCCTCTGACTTCAGCCACAGTCTCATGTTGGCCATGGCTTCTGCCACCAAATTCAGTCACTGTAGGCAAATCAAAAGAATGCCAAATGTCACAGACTCTTCTCAGTATTTCCCTGCCTGTGATTCAAAATTGTTGACCGTGTTATTGATATTGATGAGTACAGTTTGGAGGAAAAATGTTTGCAAAATTACTATATGAATGTCTTCTTAAGTAGACATAAGGATTAACAGGATTATTATTTTTAAGCATGAATGTGTTTTCAGGACTCAGAAATGGCCATTTTCATTTTTGCTATTTTCTGTGTAAGATGAAGCTTGTTATCCCCACACAAATGGTGTACTAAATGCCAAGTGAAACCTTTCAATTGAATTTAATTTATGCATTGGTCTCGTGTGCATCCAGTGATACTTGTTAACTGCAGTTTCCAGTTAATGTCTACACACAAATATTTTTGCAGCAAAATGAAAAAAGTTATGTAAATAACAAATTTTATGGATAACAATTTCTTTATTTTGGGAGTGCAACGTTTTGATAAACCTTCTTGTACCGTTTTCATTCCTGCTTGACAATGGCCAAAGACTCTGAATGGAAACGTCGCATTCATGAAATAAGAGAATTTGTTATCCATAAAATTTGTCATTATTGCGCTTCCCTTCTTAACTGCCTTGCAAAAAAAAAACAAAAAGTCATTTTTACACATCTACTTAAGATATTTTCATTTATTTAATTGCTCACAGAGCTATGAAAATACAAAGATCACATATCCACTGTTAGGCAATTCATTTATTTGAAAACTATTTTCATCATTCTACAATCCTCAGAATTGCTTCAACTGCATGTAAACAGTGTGAAATATCTCAGTGTCTCTATCAATAGCGGAGAGGTGTATTCACCATTGATCAGCAGCATATTCACTCATATCCATCAGAGATGACTTCTTTGCAGCTTTTTCCAAACCATCTTGTTTTGTGTGTGTGAAACACTGAAGACAAATAGTGGGGTTTCACAAGCATGCTTAATCAATATGAAGCACTCTATATTGAAGTTTTCAGCATGGCCTCCATTATTTTCCAAAACGGCAATATGAACAGTCCATCAACGAATGTTTATATTTCATTTGAAGATTGCTCTTTCAAATATAAGATCACTCTTTCAAATAAAAGATTACTCCAGATTTCATATCTTCTAAAAATCCATCAGCTGGTCATAAAGCAAGTCGTGCTGGCTCTGAAGGGGAGCAAACAGACCCTGCCTCACCCTACAACAGAAGTGAGGAATGGACATACCAGGATTAGCCCTGTGCCCTGTGCCATATACTTTATCACTGACGTAAAGATGTGATTGGATTCGTGTCACTTGAGATGTGACGACTTTGATTAAACAGAGATGGTGACAAAGGGATGCTAGTCACATGTGACATGACTGACACACAATAATGGCATCTTATTGTAATGGTATCTTATATGTACCTTATACGCGTGGTTTGTGTTGTAATTTTAGATGTATAAACCAGTCAGCATTGTGCATAAACACAAGTATAACTCACAGTGAACTATGTTTTTTATTAAAGATAAACTTAACCCACAGTGAACATTTTGCATAAACATAAATGTACATATGAACTGTACATAAACATAACCCACATTTTATATTATATGTGTGAACACAAACAGTACATAGATAAAAATATTTACTGGCATTGAATATGAAAATAAAAGCAATGAAGCTGCTTGTTCATCAGCTGCAGATGTCATCAGAACACCCTCCTATGGACATGAAGCTGATACAGTGATGATCAATGAAAAGTGTTCAGCCTTCTATATCTGTGTTCTGTACCAATTAACAAGATTCACATCTGTTGCTGTGGAAACAGTAATGAAAATTTGGAACTAAATATATGGATTTTCAGAAATAACTAATTGAATAAGAGATTTATACACAGTGTTTGCAAAATGTTTTTTTTCATTCAGCTTTCTATTTAATGAAAATGTATTCATTGATTCTGTAGTCTTGACTCTTGTTCTTTTTTCAAAATGCATTATTTGAATTGTTATTCAAAGTGAATAAGGGATGCCTTGTGTTTTCCACAATTCTAACTGAGATATCTAGTGCTAATTCCAGAAGGGGAACACTTGTAGCATGTTCTGAAAGAACATTACAGCTCTGTGTATGAGATATTGGCTGCTTTTGTTGATGCCATCTTGTGATGTTCAGAACAAATGTCATCAAATATATTCATGCAAAGAGTTTTTCTCTTGCCAAGAGATTGTCTTGACAAAAAGGAATGTGAGGATGCACTTGTGTTGCACTTGATCGTCTAGATGTGAAAATTCTTTAGATTTCCATAATTCTTGTTATTTTAACCATTTATTCAGTGATAAGAGTTAATTTTCTTCGTTTTTGAAAAATAAGAAGTTTTAAATGTTATGCAGAAATGTGAGGGTTGCTGGTTTGATTCCCAACTGCATTTACCAAATGATGTTTAAATATGGTACTTCTTGTTAACCTACAAGCCTGTGGCTATATGACCTTAACATGTCGCTCACCCAGTTTCACCTAACTTAAGAGGTGACTGTTCTAGAGATTGGATTTTTACATTGTAAGACAAGGATACTTGTACTGTTTGTCTCCCATAATGAACCATTGTATTGCATGTGATGTAAAACCAGTACCAATATTTCAGAGAGGAACATTTGTCAGCGAACCCGCCATCCAGGTGAAGCGGCGTGGTCGAGCCAATCAGATCTGGTCGATGGAGAAGTTGGAGAACAAGATCATTGACATGCGTGAGATGTATGAAGAGCGCAAGTCACAGGGACTTCCGATGATGGTACAAAACGTCCTGGGAGTCAGTGACTCTGAGATGTCCTTCTTTGACATCTCTGACGGCAATCTGGTGTGTTGGCTTCACTGCATGGCTTGCGTTGTTACAGATTGTGTACTGCATGATATACAGTCTCCACATACAGTCAACACGGGCTAGAATGAACCTCACTGTGATACTCCCTAATATAGATGGGCAGCATCAGATGCAATTGAAAATACAGAAGCTCCTACATTTGTGTAAATTCCCTATTAAGGTTTTTGCCACAGTTTTGAAGTTCATAAATAGCCTTAGTTACTTCTTAGTTTTACGTTATTGTATTTGATAAAATGTTAAAATACCTCAGAATTTAAAAAATAATTGTCCTCTGAACATATTCTACCAATTATGACTTTTTATCAAATTGATTGCCTCAGGGACTTGGTACAAAATCCTAGATCAATACCTGGCTGCTAGAGAATAAACCTGTCTCACACACACCAGTGTGACAAAGGTCATGATTTAATTTGGACAAGATATTAGTCAGTTTTGTTTGATATTTCATCAGCTGATTGACCGTGTCACCAATATATGTTTGATGTGATATTCAGTCAGTTCTTGATATGGACACTGAAATATTCATTTTTATTATCCTCTTGCCCATCTCTGCATGTTGACTGTATGTCAGAGCGGAAACTTGTAACAGTCACACAAACTGTATTGAGTATATCCTGCATTGGAGAAAAGTCAGTAATGGTAAAATGTTTTCAGAAAAGGATGATTTGTTTTTGATATCATGGTATCATTACAAATTACTGATTCATTGAGAAATCAGGATGATGATACTTTCTTTACAGGATAAAACAGGTTTGGTTCATTTTTTAGAAAGTGAATTTCTGTTAGAATTGGGTTATAACTTGGGAAAAGTTATGAAGTTTCTTCAAGTGTCTTAAAACTTAAAAGTTCTACTTCCGAAACAAGTCCTTCATATTGAAGGGAGTTTTCAAGTAATGTTCAGTCAGTTGACATATTCATGCAGTCACAAGTAAAGCTTCAATTAGACATTTGACTGGCGTTTGTGAACACATAGTTTCAGCTGTGTAGCATAGGGAATACTGGAGGTAAGTCATCTATGTCAGTGCAACTGTCTTTACCAACTCTCTGTCTCAGGTTCTGTCACTGACCACAGCTTTGTATTTCTCCGATTATTTTCCACCTCCCCATCTGTCGTTCACTGATAGTCGTCAGTATGTTAATTTGCTTCAAGTGATGTGCCTCTCTTCATTGCTGGGTCTTGAAGTCCGTCACTTGGCTCTGGTCGATGCCAGCTCAGCTGCAATATTGTCTTCCTCAGTTCTGTGTTCCACATGTTTTTATCAAAGCACCATTACTAAATAGCATGGCCTAATCCTTTTCAAGGAGTTGTGGAAATCGGTCTGGCTTCATCTCTGAGCAAACCAATTAGGAGAAAGTGTGTTTTTAGTCAGATGGGAATTATTAGGCTTAATCATTGCTTGCAAACAAGATTCTTTGAAAATTGTTAAGAAATAAGCTTTGCCATCAAAGTTTTTTGCTTCATTATAAAACAGGGCCTACTGTTTATTTCAGCACATTTTTCTTGAAAGAGGACTTTGTGATGCAAGTTTTCACTAACAACTGGCTATGGGAATTGTCACTGTTTCATCCACGTCAATCTTATGTTTTGTACAGAAAAACATCAGCTTCTCTTTAACAAGAAACACTAAATGTACAGTACAGTGATTTCTTTAAGTCGATGATTCAGTAAAATTAAGTTAACCTTCAGATTTCATAAATGTGAATAAATATTTGTGAATATAATAAATTGTTGTTCATTTGACTGACTGTGTTTTTCTTCAGGACGAGGGCCCCCAGTCAAAGGCGACCCTTTCTACGAGTCTCAGGAGAATCACAACCTTATCGGGGTGGCCAATATCTTTCTGGAGTGTCTGTTTTATGACGTGAAGTTGGACTACCATGTACCAATCATCAGTCAACAAGGCGAGGTGGGTGCTGAAGGATGTTAGAATGTCTTCTTCTTCTTCAAAGACAGCTTCGTGTTGTGGTTGGTTGCATGTTGTTCTCTGATGGTGTGTGGATTGAGCTCATTATGTCCGGAAACACTTATGAAGTCACAATGATGTTGAGTGCATCATTGCCATAAATCCTGGCTGCCATTGCAAAGTCTTCAGATTTTCAACAGGGTTAATCTTCACTATCAACAATCTGTATTCAGTTGTGAAAGTAACATTATCCCACCTGCCAAAGCACCCACGTTTGCGCCAAACCTCCCATAGCCCTAGTTATCTGCATCCAGGTTGATGTTTGACTTTTGGGAAGAAGTAAGCTGGTCCCATCTCCAATGTTATTCTTCCTGCAGTGGAAGACAATTTTCCACAAAACTAATTATGTATAGCTGATGTTGAAGTGGACTTCTGTTTTAAAATATAAAGAATTTTATTGTGTGTGACAGCTGAAGTACAAGAGATACTGCAGTGATGTAATGGAGGTGGCTTTTTTAAATCGTTAACAATAACATTGTTTGATAATTCATTTACAAGCTGAAATGATAAAAAGTATCTGCAACATCCCTTACATTTTTTTTATATTTCACAGAGTTTTCATTGCCCTTTATGTAATTTGTATTTGCCAATAGACAAGCAAAACATTGATGTCTTTTAGCGGCATTTAGAACTTGTATATAGATGTGCAATGTTTTTATGGATTAAAGCTCCTTTAATCTTTCCCACACAACGTTTCGGGACCATTACAGATCCTTGCAGAACCGTGTTGATAAGAACCTGTTCCTTTGACAAACTCCTGCTCTGTATAGCTTCTCATGTTTGAAGATTTGTGTTTGCTGTTGCCAGCAAATAAGGGTTGTGTGTTAATAATGGTGGTGTGTGTAGGTTGCGGGAAAGCTGCATGTGGAGGTGTCCAAGATGGGTGGAGCTGTTTTGGACCGCTACGTGGACCTGACATCTGAAAGTGGGGACGAGGATAATAATGTGCCCATGGGAGCCCCACTGATGGTGCGGGTAAGTTGTACCGAACGTGAAGGATCTTTAATGAGATATTGGTCCCTTGTCAGGAAGCTCACAGTGTATCAATATCATTTGTCAAGGTTTCACTGTGATGATGATATCCTATTCAAAGGATCTCCCATTATGTCAATGTCATGTTTAAAGGATCTCCCATTATGTCAAACCATCTGCCAACAATGTCCCTTATATCAATGTCATCTATCAAGGGTCTCCCAAAATCGGATGTCTTGGTTCAAGGATCTCCCATTATGTCAATGTCGTTTCTAAAGGATCTCCCATTATGTCAATGTCGTTTCTAAAGGATCTCCCATTATGTCAATGTCGTTTCTAAAGGATCTCCCATTATGTCAATGTCGTTTCTAAAGGATCTCCCATTATGTCAAACCATCTGCCAACAATGTCCCTTATATCAATGTCATCTATCAAGGGTCTCCCAAAATCGGATGTCTTGGTTCAAGGATCTCCCATTATGCCAATGTTCTCTTTGAAGGATCTCCAGCAATCATAATGCCCTCTTTCAGTATCTCCCAATAAGGATATCATATTTTCTCTCAAGGAAATCACATGTTGTGTGCATTTTATGTAATGTATGTACACTGCGCCTGTTTTTGCAGATCAAGATCCGAGAAGCCCGTGGTCTGCCGCCAGCCTTGTGTAACTTTGTGTTCTGTCAGTACTCATTCTGGGGGGAGCGAGACCCCATGGTGGTACCTCCCGAGGTCAACCCAGAGATCATCACCAAGCAGGACACTGTCTCCTTTATATTCAACCATGAAAATGTGAGTTGAATAAGATCACATTCACATGATTGTGCCCCAGGTACTAAGCCACTATCACCTTAAAAGTCACAGAAGCCACCTATTAAGGTGAAGATCAAAGGGAAATGCTGCTTGAAGGTCAAAGGAATATGTCACTCAAAAACTCAAGAAATGTTGCTTGAAATCTACAAGATGTGTAGTGCTTGTAACTTGTAGAGGAAAGAAACCAACCTAAAGCCAATACTCATTGTATAGTTAATCTTTGTCTAGTAAATGGTTTCTCTTGGGCTACTGTGGGTGAATATAATTACTGAAATGGTTGAACATAACAAAATGTCTGCATCCTGAGTTAACAGAGGATGATCCTGTTGGTGCTGTCTATGGAAGTGTAAGGTCGCAGAAGCACTTGTTATGACTTACATGTCAATGTTAACATTGCAATACTTTTGTCAGGACATCCGCATCCCGATATCCGAGGAGTTCATAGAGCATTGTTCTGAAGGTGCACTGTCCATAGAAGTGTGGGGCCACAGGAGTCAGGGCTTCGGACTCAACGGTACCATGATGGAGTCGGCTCAGGCCAAGACACGCACGCTATCAGACAGGTGAGTGTCACACAGTATCTGGTCTTTGTGTTGATCATTGCCATGGGCATTAAAACCCAGGTTCCAAATACCAGTAGTTGTCCGTAGTCAAGAAGAGTGAAGATAAGTTTTTACAGTTTGTCAAAGTGTAGACCACCTCTCTTGTACTTTTTGTACAAGGCTACAAACATGATCGGGTGGACAGACTCACTGGCTTGGTTGATGCCTGTCCACATGTCCCTAATGCTTGGATTGATTGTTATGTCAGTCACTGGATTGTGTGGTCAAGACTTGATTATTTTTGTTTGTAATATGTTTCAGTAATATGATTTGTGTGTGTGTAATGGTCTACAAGTTCCTTTATAATTCAGATGGAACGAGGTGATGAGGAAGATTGAGTTCTGGTCAGAGGTGCACGAGTTGAATGACCAGGGAGAGTATATGCCAGTCGAAGTCATGCCCAAACCTGATGTCCCCACCGCTGGTGTCTTCCAACTCCGACAGGTCAGTGTCCACACACAAGATTAGCCCAGGGCCTACACACAAGATTAGTCCAGGGCCTACACACAAGATTAGTCCAGGGCCTACACACAAGATTAGTCCAGGGCCATGGCTGGCCTGAACAGCATTACTGTCTGGGCGAAATGGGGGTTATTTACTAAATCTAGAATATCACTCACTCACTCTCACACATCCTTTCTCTCTCAACAGGGTCACTCCCGGCGCATCCTTGTGCGTGTCAAGCCAGTGGCCAACTCTGGGACACTGCCTCTCATCTGTGAGGCTATCACATCGGTTTCCATTGGTTCCATTTCTGTGCGATCCAAACTTCAGAAGGGTCTGGACAGTTACCAAGAGGAGGATTTGAATCATCTCCGTGAGCGTTGGTCTGATGCCCTCAAGAGGAGGAAAGACTACTTAGATGAGCAGATACAGAAGCTCATCAACAAGCCAGGTAGGTGTCTCTTCCAGTGAACATGAACAAGGTAAACAGATACCAGTAACTTCAGTAATCCAGTAATCAACTAACCAGGTACCAGACATTACCAATGATCATGGCTGTCAATCACTGTTGTCAACATTAAAGACATAACAAGCCTACGGTTCCCACTATTTTATGTGTAATGATTTCAGATAAATCTGAGGCTGATTCTGAGAGGGAAAGAGCACTCATTGAGCAGTGGGTGTCTCTGACAGAGGAAAGGAATGCTGTTCTGGTGCCTGCCCCCGGAAGTAGTATACCAGGGGCACCTGCAGACTGGTACGTCATTGAAGCATTTCATACACATCCATAGATTTCTTTTTTCCTGCTTGATCCTATCTCACTTCTGAGAAACAGATTACCATGCATCCTGACTCCTCCGGTGCTCCTTGACTCACTACCAACATACTAGACTAATGTTTGGTCTCTAAATATGTATAAGTTTGTTACAAACAAACAATTCCTTTGAAACTGAAAAGAAGTCCCAGTGAGAATCGAGATTCAGATTCGAGCATGTGGAAATCTAGACTTACTTCATTTAGGTTTTAGCATTGCAGAAAGGCCTAGGTAGAAGCGAAAATAATTTGGTTCAGGGACTGTGAGACAGACAACCAACATACCTGCTTTGTTCCCTTCTTCTCTTGATCCTTGCCTGAAAACAACAATCTCTTCACATGTGCACTTTGAAAGTTAATGATAATAGTTCACTTGTAACACACTGAATCCATGCAAAGTTAGATGAAGTAACCAAGCATTCTTCAAACTTTTTTGTACAGCAGACTTCTGTGACTTATTTTGGGGCATAACTTTCCTTGTCATCTGAGACATTGCATGTTGCTGTACAGATTTTGATGCCAGTATCCCAAGAAATCCAGTATTTTCGCTGATTATGATTCTTCGTGTCTCAGCACCATACCCTTGCTCACAGGTTTCGGCAAAGTCATAGATGTGCATCATGTGTTATCCCAGTCATGTAGCTGAAATACTGATCCAAACTATAACTTGTGTGTCAGTGAACATGTTTCCTGAGGTGTTTGTTAATTGTAGGGATCCCCCACATGACATGGAGGAGCACTCCCCAGTCCTGTTCCTGGATCTTAATGGTAAGTACATCTTGCACATGCAAAACACTTGTACATAAAGTCTCCATAGAAACTGCATTATGCATATTGGCTCATGGTTCTAACTTAGCTCAACAGTTTTATCACGTGTACATGTTAGTGTTGATTACAATGGTCTTCCCAGTTCTGTGTCACCCCTACCACTGTACATGTTAATGTAGATTACAATGGTACTCCCAGTTCTATATGTCACCCACCTGTTCTATACACTGCAGCAGAGGACATGAGCACCCCAAGTGCCAAGGAAGGCTCTCAAGCTGCCGGTATCAACTCCATCCTGCCCAAAGAACATGGAGCTCAGTTTGTTTCACTGCCGATCATCAAGAGCTTCACAGAAAAGGAAAATGTAAGTTCATTTGGATTGCCTACTATCACAAAATATTATCAAAAATCTTGAGAGAAAATCTAAGGTTATGTGGGGTTTTGGAGTTGTTGATGTTCTTTTCCTTATGTGAAAAATACATATCAAACTATGGTGGTGTGCATTTCTAGGTGTGTGCACTGGTATCCTGGGACTCCTCCATCCACGACTCTCCCCACCTGAACCGATTAACGCCCACCAATGAGAGGATATATGTCATCCTAAAGGCAGTTGTCCGCCTGAGTCACCCCGCATCCATGGAGCTAGTCCTTCGCAAGCGAGTCTGCATCAACATCTACAAGAAGCAAAGTCTCTCCTCCTTCACCAACATCCTCAAGAACAGGTTTATCGGAGGGGTAGGTACAGGGGTTCATCGGAGGGGTAGGTACTGGGGTTCATGAACAGGGCACATTGTATTGGGTTCTTTAGAGTGATAAGTCACATTGTACTGGGTTCATCGGAGGGATAGGACACATTGTACTGGGTTCATCGGAGGATAGGCACATTGTACTGGGTTCATGACAGGGATAGGGTACTGGGTTGATGGATAGGGCACATTGGGGTTGATGAAAGGGATAGGACACATTGTACTGGGTTCATGAAGGGGATAGGACACAGTGTTCATGAAAGGGATAGGACACATTTCTGGGTTGATGAAAGGGATAGGACACATTGTTCTGGAGGGCTAGGTAGGGATAGGACACATTGTACTGGGTTCATGACAGGGATAGGACACATTGTACTGGGTTCATGAAAGGATAGGACACATTGTTCTGGGTTGATGAAAGGGATAGGACACATTGTACTGGGTTCATGAAAGGGATAGGACACATTGTACTGGGTTGATGAAAGGGATAGGACACATTGTTCTGGGTTGATGAAAGGGATAGGACACATTGTTCTGGGTTGATGAAAGGATAGGACACATTGTTCTGGGGGGGATAGGCACACATTGTACTGGGTTCATGAAAGGGATAGGACACATTGTACTTCGTTGATGAAAGGATAGGACACATTGTTCTGGGTTGATGAAAGGGATAGGACACATTGTTCTGGGTTGATGAAAGGGATAGGACACATTGTACTGGGTTCATGAAAGGGATAGGACACATTGTACTGGGTTCATGAAAGGGATAGGACACATTGTACTGGGTTCATGAAAGGGATAGGACACATTGTACTGGGTTCATGAAAGGGATAGGACACATTGTACTGGGTTCATGAAAGGGATAGGACACATTGTACTGGGTTCATGAAAGGGATAGGACACATTGTACTGGGTTCATGAAAGGGATAGGACACATTGTACTGGGTTGATGAAGGGATAGGACACATTGTACTGGGTTCATGAAAGGGGATAGGACACATTGTACTGGGTTCATGAAGGGATAGGACACATTGTACTGGGTTGATGAAAGGGATAGGACACATTGTTCTGGGTTGATGAAAGGGATAGGACACATTGTACTGGGTTCATGACAGGGATAGGACACATTGTACTGGGTTGATGAAAGGGATAGGACACATTGTTCTGGGTTGATGAAAGGGATAGGACACATTGTACTGGGTTGATGAAAGGGATAGGACACATTGTACTGGGTTGATGAAAGGGATAGGACACATTGTACTGGGTTCATGAAAGGGATAGGACACATTGTACTGGGTTCATGAAAGGGATAGGACACATTGTACTGGGTTCATGAAAGGGATAGGACACATTGTACTGGGTTCATGAAAGGGATAGGACACATTGTACTGGGTTGATGAAAGGGATAGGACACATTGTACTGGGTTCATGAAAGGGATAGGACACATTGTACTGGGTTCATGAAAGGGATAGGACACATTGTACTGGGTTCATTGCGATGTGAAGGTGCTGTTGATGTAGTACTTTTCAAGGTCATACCCATACATCCAGAACAACAGGTTTATAAATGGGTAATTTGTCATATTCATGCTTTGACAGGGATGGCATAATTGGATGTATAAGATCTTTACCTAAGTTATGTTATGACAGATATGTGTAGAAACTGCATTACCTCATTGGTGTGAGCATTTATCCCTGTCTTCCAGGACTATCTGTATGCCAGTGGTATCACCTATGAGGTTGTGTCCAACATTCCAAAGGGGTCAGAGGACCTGGAGGGTATGGAGACCCTGGCACAGATGGCCGCTAGTCAGAATGAGACCAAAGCTGTGGATGGGGAGACCTACATCGAGAAGTACATCAAGGGAATCTCGGCCGTGGAGAGCATCCTCACTATCGACAGGCTTCGTCAGGTAAGTGCCAATAGAGGCAGTTATAAGCTCAGCTAGGGAGGGCATTTTCAGACTCAAAGGGGGACCAGGATTTTTCAAGCTCAGTAAAGGGCAGGGCACTTCATACTCAGTGAAGGAGGGCAACTTCAAAGCTCAGTGAAGGTCCAGGCAGGTCCAGGTCCTAGCTTGGGCTAGGGTTAATCCCTTCCTTCTCAAGAGTGCACTGAATAAGACAGAGAAGCCTGTTAATGTGACAGAACAATTCAATGATATTTCTTGATTTTTTTACAAAAATGCATAACAAATGTAACTGACATTTCCGTGTGTCTCCAACAGGAGGTCGTAGTCAAGGAACACCTTGCCGTCAGTGGGAGATCATTACGGAAGACCACCAGTGTCCCTAACATCAATCAGGTTTGCTGTCTTCATGAACACCCCAATGTAGAAAAACATTCATGTCTGTGAAATGTTATAGAATGACACATTATTGAATATATTCACTGGTGTGGTGACTAAATCGTGTTTTGTCTTGTAGTTCGCAATATAACTATCTTAAGCACATTAGATATTTACCATCTTAGACTCTGCTTTGTGACTGCTTTGAATAACTGCCACATTTTTTCTATTTTAATCAGAAAAGCATTGTATGTGAAAGATCTACACCAGGTTGTTTTCAATCCATGGGGAAGTAATATCGCAACAATTCTCAAGCAACTTGTTAAAAGAATGGCATAACATTATGTAAATTGAACCGGCAGCCATGACTGCCTCAGTTTCTATCTTTGTAACTTCTCAAGTATCTTGTTAATTCCTTAATCTTTTTCTGCTGTGCATCTTGTCTGAAGTCTCTCATATTGGCACCAAATCAACAGCTGGATAAGATGATCGAAACATGGACCAGACATTCTGATTGACTAATTGATTTTACTTATGCGATTTCTTACAAGATGGGTATATTTACTTTCCTGTTAACAGTTCCAACTGTGGTGTTTGATGTCTGTACTGCTTCAGACATGGAAGTTATTGAACATGTTATTTGGACAATTTGAACTGACTGATCAGTCTCCAAAGTCTGTCAAAACCAATCCAACTTGGTATTTATTCAAGGAAGTGCTCTATCATGTAGCTTGTGGTGGGTTTCTCAAGCCAGTCTTCTTGCTTCCACAGATGCTAACCTCACCCACCAAGCTTGAAGATCAGGTAACACTCTCTAGGCTCTCTCTGTTTTAGATAGATTTTTTGCTCACCTGGCCTTAAAGGGCAAGTGACCTTGTCAAGCAAGTCATCCATTATCTGTTGATGTTATAAACCTTATAGTTTTCAATTTCATCTTCAAAGCATCTGAAAGAACAAGTGACCTTGTCCAGTAGGTCACCCTTATCTGTTGATGTCATAAACCTTATAGTTTTCAATTTCATCTTCAATACATCTGAAAGAACAAGTGACCTTGTCCAGTAGGTCATCCCTTATCTGTTTATGTCATAAACCTTATAGTTTTCAATTTCATCTTCAATACATCTGAAAGGACAAGTGACTTTGTCGAGCAAGTCATCCCTCATCTGTATATCTCAGCTGTAAATTGTTTAGTTTTATCTCCAAAACATCATGATGCATTCAGCCATTGTGTACATGTTTATATATGGGCATTAAAGTGTGTAGTTAGTTGTGAATCTCAACACGTTCCACTGTATTTAAAATTTTGAATGTGTTTTTACGTTTTTACTTTGAACCATGCTTTTCAGTTCTCACTGTAAACATTGTCTCCCCAGACTCCACTGAACATTGAAGTTTTTTTCCGTCAGTCATCACATCTGAATTTGTTCAAGAGGATTTGATCTGATTTTTAAAATGGCCACCATTGGCAGCTGTATATGTCCTCTCAGCTATTTTTGCACAAAATGACAAAATATTCTGTAGAGCTCTTCAATTTTCTCAAAATATATTTCTGTCTACTTCTTAAAGTTTCCAGATTTATGAAGCTGAAATTTGTCATGTATGTTTCTGTGTATTTTTTTCCAGATATTAGTTATGAGGCATTAGAAAACTGTTTTGTAAGACAACAAAATGGTACCACTGGTTTTACTTACCCATAAGTCCATTCATTTACAGTTAAACAGTATCATGTGTCACACTCTCCTACTTGTTGTTGCAGATACGAGCTGACAGCATACAGGATCTCACCAGTGATGCCGCATTGTCAAAATCCCCGACTTTTGCGGGTGAGTTTCGACAACGAGCATTTTCCGACGTGAACGAGTCCATGATCGCGTCTTACCGCAGGGAAGTGGGTCGTCTTAAAAAGCTTTCGGTCGGCCTAGGTGGGTTAAATGACAGTGTCACCCAGTTTCTCTTTTTTGTTTGGCAGCAACCATTTTAAGTTCAGCTTGATTATTGCACATCGCAAAGTGTATAGACGGCTTCAAGTCTCCGCATTGTTTTGCAGTCAATACACAAGTAGGCAGATCATGTCAAAATCACCATCAAAATCCTAGCATAGATCAGAGCATTTACTTTTATTTGTTTTCGATAAAATTTAAAAATTCTTCTCACATATGTTGAGATTGTGACTGCATTGAAGTGATTATGGAATTTTTTGTGTTTTCTCATATACTTCCATTCCATTAAATTTTCGATTTATACTGTGATATTGCTTCGTCAGCGATGTTTCCCATGATCCTTCACCCACTTCCTGTGTGTATGGTCGCCATGGTTATATGCTCGCTTGCCTCATATTTGTATGCTTCTAGGGCTGATACAGAATCATAGCTTGATTAAAGCTATGACAATGTTTTGTTGTATTAAATAAAGCCATCTCTTTAGTGCAAATAAACTGTGTAATTATTTTCCATGCTTATATATACAAGGACGTTATTCTCGTCCCAAAGTTTGACAATCAAATGATGATGAAGGTCTTAATGTTCAGTGCATAAATGGATTATTAATGTAGTTATATTTCATTGACTTTAAATGCACAGTTATTCAACAAATCGGGTAATGCAAACTCTGTTTTCAGTTAATATGTAGAGTTGACTGACCGATTAGATTTGGTTGTATTTGCCAATATCGCACTTACAGTCTAACTCTTCAATCAGACACATTTAAGTTGGTGTTCACATTTAAGTTGGTTCTCACATTTAAGTTGGTGCTCACATCGCTCATATCAGCTGTTAACACTCACAGATCATCCACTTCCCCCTTGCCCATGTTTCTGTCATCAACACTTCAGAGGATGTAAACACTACATTTCTCCATCATGTGATTACATACAAGGCTGTACAGAAAAGGAGGCCACAAGGATGGGCAGGCAGCTTATAATCTTTGTAGAGCAGGCAGGCAGCCTAATCTGTGTAGAGCAGGTAGTCTGCTACAAGGCTGGGTAGAGCAGACAGGCAGCCACAAGGCTGTGTAGAGCAGGCAGTCTGCCACAAGGCTGTGTAGAGCAGGCAGTCTGCCACAAGGCTGTGTAGAGCAGGCAGGCAGCCAGCCACAAGGCTGTGTAGAGCAGGCAGGCAGCCAGCCACAAGGCTGTGTAGAGCAGGCAGGCAGCCACAAGGCTGTGTAGAGCAAAAATGGCAGCTACAAGGCTGTGTAGAGCAGGCAGGCAGCTACAAGGCTGGGTACAGCAGGCAGTCTGCCACAAGGCTGTGTAGAGCAGGCAGGCTGCCACAAGGCTGTGTAGAGCAGGCAGTCTGCCACAAGGCTGTGTAGAGCAGGCAGTCTGCCACAAGGCTGTGCCAGCAAAGGCTGGGTGTAGAAGGCTGGGTACAGCAGGCAGTCTGCCACAAGGCTGTGTAGAGCAGGCAGTCTGCCACAAGGCTGTGTAGAGCAGGCAGTCTGCCACAAGGCTGTGTAGAGCAGGCAGCTACAAGGCTGGGTAGAGCAGGCAGTCTGCCACAAGGCTGTGTAGAGCAGGCAGTCTGCCACAAGGCTGTGTAGAGCAGGCAGGCAGCCAAGGCTGTGAGCAGTGCAGAGCAGTCTGCCACAAGGCTGTGTAGAGCAGGCAGTCTGCCACAAGGCTGTGGCTAGCAGGCAGGCTGCCACAAGGCTGGGTAGAGCAGGCAGCTACAAGGCTGGGTAGAGCAGGCAGTCTGCCACAAGGCTGTGTAGAGCAGGCAGTCTGCCACAAGGCTGTGTAGAGCAGGCAGGCAGCCACAAGGCTGTGTAGAGCAGTCTGCCACAAGGCTGTGTAGAGCAGGCAGTCTGCCACAAGGCTGGGTAGAGCAGGCAGTCTGCCACAAGGCTGTGTAGAGCAGGCAGTCTGCCACAAGGCTGTGTAGAGCAGACAGGCAGCTACAAGGCTGTGTAGAGCAGGCAGACAGCCACAAGGCTGTGTAGAGCAGGCAGGCGGCCACAAGGCTGCGTAGAGCAGGTGGCTACCAGGCTGTGTAGAGCAGACAGGCAGCTACAAGGCTGTGTAGAGCAGGCAGTCTGCCACAAGGCTGGGTAGAGCAGGCAGCTGCAAGGCTGGGTAGAGCAGGCAGTCTGCCACAAGGCTGTGTAGAGCAGGCAGTCTGCCACAAGGCTGGGTAGAGCAGGCAGCTACAAGGCTGGGTAGAGCAGGCAGCTACAAGGCTGTGTAGAGCAGGCAGTCTGCCACAAGGCTGTGTAGAGCAGGCAGTCTGCCACAAGGCTGTGTAGAGCAGGCAGCTACAAGGCTGGGTAGAGCAGGCAGTCTGCCACAAGGCTGTGTAGAGCAGGCAGTCTGCCACAAGGCTGTGTAGAGCAGGCAGGCAGCCACAAGGCTGTGTAGGCAGGCAGTCTGCCACAAGGCTGTGTAGAGCAGGCAGTCTGCCACAAGGCTGTGTAGAGCAGGCAGTCTGCCACAAGGCTGGGTAGAGCAGGCAGCTACAAGGCTGTGTAGAGCAGGCAGTCTGCCACAAGGCTGTGTAGAGCAGGCAGTCTGCCACAAGGCTGTGTAGAGCAGGCAGCTACAAGGCTGGGTAGAGCAGGCAGTCTGCCACAAGGCTGTGTAGAGCAGGCAGTCTGCCACAAGGCTGTGTAGAGCAGGCAGGCAGCCACAAGGCTGTGTAGAGCAGGCAGCTACAAAGCTGGGTAGAGCAGGCAGTCTGCCACAAGGCTGTGTAGAGCAGGCAGTCTGCCACAAGGCTGGGTAAAGCAGGCAGTCTGCCACAAGGCTGGGTAGAGCAGGCAGCTACAAGGCTGTGTAGAGCAGGCAGTCTGCCACAAGGCTGTGTAGAGCAGGCAGTCTGCCACAAGGCTGTGTAGAGCAGGCAGCTACAAGGCTGGGTAGAGCAGGCAGTCTGCCACAAGGCTGTGTAGAGCAGGCAGTCTGCCACAAGGCTGTGTAGAGCAGGCAGGCAGCCACAAGGCTGTGTAGAGCAGTCTGCCACAAGGCTGTGTAGAGCAGGCAGTCTGCCACAAGGCTGGGTAAAGCAGGCAGTCTGCCACAAGGCTGGGTAGAGCAGGCAGCTACAAGGCTGGGTAGAGCAGGCAGTCTGCCACAAGGCTGTGTAGAGCAGGCAGGTGGCCACAAGGCTGTGTAGAGCAGGCAGGCGGCCACAAGGCTGTGTAGAGCAGTCTGCCACAAGGCTGTGTAGAGCAGGCAGTCTGCCACAAGGCTGGGTAGAGCAGGCAGTCTGCCACAAGGCTGTGTAGAGCAGGCAGTCTGCCACAAGGCTGTGTAGAGCAGACAGGCAGCTACAAGGCTGTGTAGAGCAGGCAGACAGCCACAAGGCTGGGTAGAGCAGGCAGCTACAAGGCTGTGTAGAGCAGGCACGACAAGGTTGGGTAGAGCAGGCACCGACAAGGCTGTGTAGAGCTGGCAGTTACAAGGCTGTGTAGAGCAGTCTGCCACAAAGCTGGGTAGAGCAGGCACCCACAAGGCTGGGTAGAGCAGGCAGCTTCAAGGCTGGGTAGAGCAGGCAGCTTCAAGGCTGGGTAGAGCAGGCAGCTTCAAGGCTGTGTAGAGCAGGCAGGCACCCACAATGCAGGGTAGAGCATTCTGTTGAGGAAGTTCTGTGGAGAAGGAAGCTTTTGATCTCATACTGCATAATCAGAAACATTGTTATTTCTTCAATGCAAATGCAGTCTTCCTTGGTTCGAACACTCACTGGCTTCTCATTCCCTGGAGCTTTTGCCTTCACTTGATTCATGAAGAACAGCACCTTGTATGTAACCCAGATGATGGAGAAACATAGTGTAAACAAACCCAGGAAGTATTGACTGCCTTTCTCCCTTCCACCAGGCAACCTTAGAACTACTGCTATTGTAACAAGCCTAGCTAGCCCAGTGCCGAAGTTGCTTGATGAAACACGTCTCTGCACCCTCATCACTAGCACCCTCATCGCTAGCTAACCTCTCCAACACAACACCATCAAACATCATCTACATTTCACATCATATCAACAGGAAGATTTGAACTGAGATGCTTTTCAAAAAACATTGTTTTGTTTAAACCAAATTTATTCACCTGTAATTCACTTTTTATAAATGTTTATAATTAGTAATATTGATTAAAGTATGTTTAAGGACAAATATCACTTAAAAATGATGAAAAGTATTATTTAAACATATTTTTATCATCAGTGATGAAAGTATGAAATTATACATTTCTTACTGTAGTTGAGTCCATAGACATGAGTGACAGCACCTTGTCTCATTTAATTGACTATGGCTACACCATACCAGACCACATCGAGAGGCCACATCATTGTCTCATGTCTCATGTCAGCATGTGTCATATTTACAGAGCTGTTTACATTTGCAAGGTTCTGTTTTCGTAAGTTGTTTTACTTGCCAGGTTTCCATGCATGTAGTTTCTGCATGAGATTAACCATTTCTGTCAGAATAATCCTTATCTATGTCCCCAATACCTGGGCCTAGATTTCGAAGCTCTCTTAACGCTAATACTGTCGTAAGTTAATGTTAATGTATGGCACTTACGACTATCTTAGCGCTAAGAGAGCTTCGAAAATCTAGGCCCTGGACTTCTGGGAAATAAGTCAAATTTGTATACATATTTTTCTTCCTTTTCATTGGTTGTTGGATTATTCTGAGAATATTCGTGGGTATTATTGGGAAATCCTGTGGTTGGATGGGAAGAAATCTTGTCCACTGTGTCATGTGATTCAAACTGACCGATCTGACAGTGACCAGTGACCGGTCACACAGTGTGCCATGTGATACTATCTGGCCAATCTGACCAGTGACCGGTCACACAGTCTGTCATGTGATACTATCTGACCAGTGGCCGTTCACACAGTGGTGTATATACATGGGGCTTAACTTCTACTTGGGTGTAATGTATTATTTTTATACCCTATTTCTCCAATTGAACAATGGAAGTAGGAAATATGCC